AGCCCTGGGCTTCTTCTATGTGGTCTCCAGGCCCAGCTATTCCCTCCATTGGAACTCCTCCTCTCAACTTTGCTTCTCCTAGCTTGTTTCTGAGGACTTTGCACCCTGCAGGTGTCCTCTGAAGCCTCCCCTCCCAGTCGTCATTAAGGGGACTTGCTATAAGCTCATATAATAGCCTATTCTGCCTTCATTTCCACACTTCACTGCAGTGGTTCTCAACGAGGGGTGATTTTGCCTCCATGGGTCATTGAACAATGTCTGGAGACATATTTGGCTGTTATAGCTCTGTGTACATTGGGTGCTAACTGCTGGCATCCAGTGGGGAGAGATCACAGGACAGAAATTATCCTAACATATCAATAACGCCAAGACTGAGACACCGTGTTCTACTATGCTTACTTGTTTCTCATCAGCACCAGGGCTGTCTCATCCATACTTGTGTTGCAGCTATACTGACTGGCCCACTGTGGGAGTTCCACAAATACCTGTTACATGATCAAATGACCTTCACCCTTCACTCCTCATCTCCTGCTTATTGCTGCCGGTTTTGACCACGACCAATTCCTTGTCTTGGTTCTCTGTCTTGCTCAGCACAAATTTGGACTCTACTGACACATCACCATTCTGCTGTACAAGCTAAGTCAGTCACAGGTGAGGAAGAATCTAGGCCACTTGCTACAAAGCAGAGCACAAGGTTCCTAGGTTTCAAGGTCAGGTGGAGTTAGGACCACCAGGATTGGAAAGGGGAGAGCTGGCTAGACCACCAGGCAAATGGAGCAGCGAGATTGTGCAGCTGGGGCTCAAAAGCTGGTGAGTGCTCAAATCCACATGCCGTGCACTTACCAGGGAATGAGAGTCTACCTCTGAGGCTGTGGGAAGGCTCGCCCCCCTCGGTGAAGCAGGGCTCTAGGATGCACCGTGTCTTGAAAGACTGAGCCACCGCCCACTTGTTTCTTTGGGCTTTGCTACTGAGCTCACATGAATTATGACGTGCTTATTTTACATGATTATCAGGGGCTGGTAGTTCTTGGCCATTTCAGGAATGAAACGTTCCCAAAGACCTTCCAGACAGTGACAAAACAGGATTGGCCAAAGTCATAACCTCAAACACTGATGTATTACATTTTATACTTCATATATATTTATTATCATTGCTGGCCAAAGAGAGCAGTTTCATCATGCCTTAGGGGTCTGCAGGACCTCTGAAGGTGAAAGTGAACCACTTTCACTAACACCCCTCAGGACTTCACCCTGGAATTCCTTTAGCACTCCTGGAAGCCAGCCAAGCTGTCCTCGTGATTTATTCACATACACTCTGTCAACGAGGTCTAGAACATTCTGTACATCTACTGCTTCTTGATCCAGTGCGTGTGCTTTCAAAGATGATTTGAGATTGGTGCTCACTTTGATATATTTCTCTGAAAGGAGCAAGCAAAGTAATTTATGATGCTTGCTGGCTCCTTTCCATGTCAACCAAGTATTCCCATCATTCACAAAGGTCCTACAAAGTGAGGGACAGGTTCCCACACTTCAGCTACTTAAAATGTCCTTTATATTTGTTTTCATATCAATTTCTTATCGGATGTCCATTAAATTATGTGTGGGTATTTTCTAAACTAACTCTGTACAAATTTTTAAATTCATTTTTATTTTTTTATTAGAAAGGCAAATATACAGAGAGAAGGAGAGACAGAGAGAAAGATCTTCTGTCCACTGGTTCATTCCCCAAATCACTGCAATGGCCAGTGCTGAGCCAATCCAAAGCCAGGAGCCAGGAGCTTTTTCTGGATCTCCCAAGCAGATGCAGGGTCCCAAGGCTTTGGGCCATCCTCTACTGCTTTCCCAGGCCACAAGCAGGGAGCTGGATGGGAAGTGGAGTAGCTAGCATATGAACGGGCGCCCATATGGGATCCAGGTGCATATGCAAGACAAGGATTTAGCCACTTGGCTATGGCGCTGGACCCTAACTCTACTATTTTCTCTTTCTTAAGAAGCATCTACTTGAGCAATTCTCTTTGTGCTGTTTCTGTAAATATTAACTATTATCTTATATAAAACAAACTCCAGAGCTACAAGGATAAGACAAATTAAGGCACACAGAGGGTTTCACACAATTCCTGAAACAAAGAAAGCATTTTAAAATGGGGTTGTTTATTCTTACTTTATCAGGCCAAGAAGGTTCGATAGAAGAAACCTAGCTCTTCGCAATCACACCTGCCAAGATGGACTTTTTCCAATCTTGTCATATTTCATTTTCCAAAAGGTGTTTGGCAGTCAGCTTCTCTTCAAAATTAAAAGGCAAGATTGAGGTATACTGACTCCTTTCATAATTACGATTCCTGTTTTTATCTAGGTCCCATCATCTATAGATACCTCGGTTTTCCACTCTTGAGCAGACCACGCATCTGACATTTATTAGGGTCATTAAATCACATCAGCTCGCACACAGACACCCCTCCAACTTCTAGGATACTTCTCCCTCTCTTCTGTACAGTCATTAGCACAGGAAATTATCATTTGTCCTAATTCCAGCCCAGGGCGGTATCGTGCCAATCTACAAGTGAGTAAACACCCTCATTATTACTAATTGGCCTGATTTTTTTTTTTAACCTCAGCCAGTCCTATTCCAGCTTGCAGCTCAATCTCATTATCCCTGTCAGGTGGCCCTTTCTACGGCCATAGCTTCATCAAGTATTGACTATTTCCACCCACGGGGCATTTCCTGATGGCATTTTCATGCCATGCCCGCCACCCCCCGCCAGATTTCTCTACTACTCCAATAATCCGCCCTGGCTTCTTGTCCTTCTTGACCAGCTGTTTCAAGAGAGCCATCCATTTCTGAGCAACACAACAGCCGTCTCCTTGCACTCCATCTCTGGCTAACTGTGGGACCTGCAGCTTCTACCTGTCTCTCGGGGGCGATGGAGTGTGGGTATGTGGTCATAAAAAAAATAAAATCACAGCTGGATCTTTCTTCCACCTGTCTCTCTCCTCTCTTTCTGTGGAAAAGCCCAGGATGCTATGTATTAACCAACACCACATATACTGTTCCAGAAGCACAGTCCTAAAGAACTATTTACTCCTTTTCTAAATTCTGAAGACGTCTCCATGGAGGAGATGGTTTCGGGTCTACTATTTTGTACTGTGTGAATTTGTCCTAATTATGCACGCATCTGACTGTTTAACTAGATAAAACAACAACGAGAGACTTTTTCAAGGAGGAAAGGATAACTCATGGCAGCTACTCCCAGATGTTACTGCCAATATATCTAAAAATATTTGAGTAACAGGGATATTCCTTAAATTTATATAACACTGAGACATTGTTGAAAACCAGCATTTGCCATTTTCACACTATACTCCGTGATTTTTCAAAGCTCAATTATGAGAAGCATTCACAGCAACGGCTTGTCTAGATTTTTCAGTAACAGGGAGAATGAATGCTGAATTGCGCTTCTTCATAATCCTCTGAAAGATGGCACCTGCTATCACAATTTTTCCGATTGATCCTTAAGTCACCTTATTATTGGTCATTCACCAAAAACACAACAATTCACTCATATTAGCCATTCCCACTAAATGAAGACACAATGGTTAAAATGCTGGATTAAAGCAATACTAAATGCAAGAGCTTCTATTTCCAGAGTGTTTCCCTCAAGACAGAGGACTGCATGAACTAAAAGAAAAAATAACGTAACGCACAGCTATCCCTTCACCAACCCAAACCATAACGTCAGAGACCCCTAGACCTAAAAGATTTTGCTTCCAGTAAGTTACAGTGATCAGGGGTCCCTCTGTCCGGAGCCTGCCACAATGACCAGAAACACTCGCTCGGCACCCTCGCTGGCCTGAAACGTGTCCAATGTTCCTTCCACACAATTTTGGACACAGATAAAAATGGGATCGTGTCAAGAAACTGACATGATTCCTTGTGCTACTTAGTGGTGTTATCTCTCGCAGGGGTGAGGAAAGAACCCACACTCAGTTGAAATTTTCAATCCTAGTCCTCAGAAACACTCTCCATGCCCTTGGAGAAGTTACAGAGACTCGCAGATAGAGTTGTGTGAGCCATTTCAAGAGTAGTCTTCATAGCTTGAATTCCTTCAACACAGAACTTTGCGATGAAGTTAGCCAAATACAGAGAGAAAAAAAAAAAACCCAGTTTTCAAGTTTTATTCTGGGTTATTTTTAACTCTCAATTTTTTAAAGAAAAGGAGTGGATTTTGGAATTGAGTTGGTGGTAAGCAGAAAGCTGTCCCTTAATGATCTTTTCTGGAGCTAATCTTATCAAAGGTCTAACATGCTTTTCATGTCTTGAGAAATAACCTCTCAGATAAACTCATCACCTTTCCCCAAAACTGGATACTTGCACTGAGTTTTTGGGGGTGTCTAGTAAAGCATAACTAAAACAAAAAAAAGCACATTGCTCATTTTGATCATGGATAACATCAAATACATTTGCATTGGATTCCTTGGTTACAGTTTTTCACAATTCTGGATGTCCTCTACCAGTATCGTATTTGTAGCAGCCAAAAGATAAAAGTTCAAAAGAAACATAAAACAAATTCAAGAGCAATTTATTCAAAGCTAGTAGACCATACCAAATCAAAGTTTTCACTAAACTAAATGTTGAGATATAACACACCATAAACCCTTGTAAAAAGAATGAAAATAAACACGTAATAAACTATCAAGATCCTTCTCAAGATCTTCTAGCTCCAAATGCAAACAAACAAAGGAAGATATCTCCAACTTGTGATTACAGAAAAAAAAAATTAAACATTTTGGATAAACACAACTCAGAAACTTTCTCAACAAGGAAATAATGCTTTCTGATTCTCTTTGTAAATGTCTCAGAGGAACTGTGTGTTGGTTAACGCTGCACGGAGTACAGTTCCCCAGACACTGAGACCACCAGAGGACTTCTTAAAAAACTGAAACTCTTACCTTGTCTTCTTGAAGCCTCCTGCATCCACATCCATCCTTGAACAAGGAAAAACTGGGTACCTCAGAGAGAGGGAGGGAGGGGGAGAGAGAGAGAGAGAGAGAGAGAGAGAGAGAGAGAGAGAGGCAGAGAGGAGCCAACCACCCTTCAAGGCAGGCTGAGAGTGTGCGAAGCCTCAGCTGACAGCCTGCCTCCCTCTCCTGGGGCTCTCTGCCTAAGAGGCTGCACAGAAACCAAGCCCGTGCCAAATCTTAATCCCTTTGCAGAATCTCACATGGAGCTGCCTCACCTCTTCCATTCCTGCTAAGCCTCTTCCTGCTGCGCTTCCTTCTGAACCCATCCATCACCAATACGACTCACTGAGAGTGGCCCAAACGCGGGCCATAGCGAAGAATACTGCAACGTGCAGGGTGCTGAGCACTTGCATAAGCCAGAATGAAATGATGTAACACTCAGAATCAAGACAGAGCCATGACCCAGAGTCAGGGCACTACAAGAATCTTAGTGAAATACAATTTTTGATGTTAGGGAAAACCATCCCGAGGTTTTATGAAGTTGGATTCTGTTAATTTAGGCTTATCTGGATTATTCTGGCCTTAATCCAAAGTGTTAGGGTTTCCAAACAGAAACTTAAAACTTCCCAATTATCCAAAATCTTATACAAGTGAAAAAGAAAACTAACATGTTAATGCACAAAGAACTCAGTTTCAGGGTGAATTTACAGGGCACACGTCCAAAGAGGCATGCCCCTTTGGGGGTGCATAGTACCAAGGCTCCTCCAAGGTGAACCCACTTCAAAATACAGGTGACTTCGAAAAAAACCACTACAGCCTAACCCAGTGGTCTGTGTTTCTGCCTGTAACTATTTTTTGAAGTGATTTCTTATATTTATTTGAAAGGCAGGGAAAGTAAATATGAGACTGTTCCATTTGTTCACTCCCCAAATGGTGATAATCAACAAGGGCTAGGCCAGCCTAAAGCCAGAAGCCTGTAGCTGCATCCAAGTCTCCCATGTGGGTGGCAGGAGCCCAAACATGTGGGTGGTCTTTTGCTTTCCCAGGTGCATCAGCAAGGAGCTGGATTGCAAGTGGAACAGCTGGGATTCAAACCAGTGCTCCCATGGGATGCTGGCTTTGTATATAGTGGCTTCACTTGCTGCCTCACCACAACTCAAGCCTCTGCCTCTAACTATTGATGGAAAGAAAACCCAGGGCTTCCTGACTCCATTCCTGATGAGCCACACCTGTTAACTTACTGCAGCTCTTAGGGCCACCGGTTGGGGTGAGACAGATCCGAGAGACCACAATGCTGTTGGATGACAAGGGGGTTGAGGGAGGAGGGTGGAATTTGCCAATAACACCTGCTCAGGAGAGAGAGTAAGGCTTCACGGATTACATACATCTTGGGGGCACGTGCTGCTGAGCCTATTTAGATCGATTCTAAATAGTGCTCATCATGGGCCAGGCAATGCTTACACACTTCCTGCAATACCTCACTGACCTTTACAACACCACCATGGAATAGATACTCTCACTGCTGCTGTTCTGCTAATAAAACCAAAGTTCGGAGAGGTTAAGCAGTGGTAAGCTGGCAGGTGGGGACACTGGGTTTGTCTGACACACTCCTTAACCAGTATCTGGACTGCTCAAGCCAGCACTGTGAGCTACAAAACCAGCACATTATCTGCACTATGAGGAGACACACGTTACTACACAGGGCTATGGGAAGCCCATGATGGGAGCTCCAGAAAATGCAGGTCCCAGATCTTCAGCTCTGTCACCCAGGAACACCAGGAACCAGAGCTCCTAGCCTGACCCAAGCCCACTGAAAGCAGGTAGGCAACTTCTGGTGCAGGAGCAAGAATCCAAGGTCAGAGAACGAAGCTCTGGTCTGGCCTGTTCTGCCATGAGCCAGCAGATGACTTCAACTGATCCACTTAGTACACCTCCCTTTTCCAGGTCTCATTGAAAGAAAGAGGTTGGACTGAGATTCCTTCCTGCACAAATTTTCTACAAAAATGATGCAACCACTGGACAAGTTATGACGTTTTTAAAAAGATTTATTTATTTTTATTGGAAAGTCAGATATACAGAAAGGAGGAGAGACAGAGGGGAAGATCTTCCATCCACTGTTTCACTCCCCAAGTGGCTGCAATGACCAGAGCTGAGCCAATTCGATGTCAGGAATCAGGAGCCTCTTCCAGGCTTCCCACATGGGTGCAGAGTCCCAAGGCTTTGGGCCGTCCTTGACTGCTTTCCCAGGCCACGAGCAGGGAGCTGGATGGGAAGTGGAGCCGCCAGGATTAGAACCAGTGCCCATATGGGATCCTGGCGTGTGCAAGACAAGGACTTTAGCTGCTAAAGATCAGCTCTTATGCATCCATTAAGTAATCACCCTAATTTGACAATAATGGTGACACCCACCCACGTGTAGGCCTTGGGCACTACATGAGTATTTTTCCTTGTCCTTATAGAAGCCCACATCAGGCAAGTATTTTCCCTAGAGCACAAGTGAGTCAACAGAGGATTAGAGGCAATGATTGGTTTGCAGTGGGCTATAAGCTGACAAAGGGGAGGGACAGACTGGAGGTAGGCTTGGAAGATTCCAGAGGCCACCACAAAGCCCATTGTTCCCACAATGCTTTACAAATCTCTAAGTGACTCTGGGATGCCTTTTGGAAATGCCCTTTGAGAACCGGCATGTTTGAGTTAAAAAAAATATACAGATTTGAGCAGCTGCCCCACATTGGGTATGAAGATAGAGATAGTTGTGCCACAAGGGAGATTGGACAAAGTGCTGTGGGGGTTTAGGCACAATGGGGGTTTAGGCAACTGAGAAATTATTACCAAATAATCCAAATGACTGTTAATATGCTCCGTGGAGGTAAATATCCTTTCTCTGAGGTTGGATATAATTCTGGCACACAGGCAAGTCCATCGAAGCCAAGTATGGGAATAGTGGGTCATCAAGCCAGGTAATACCATTTTTGGTCATGAGCTAGGTGTGGCTATAAAATACAACAGTGAGATGGACTTTCCTGTGTGGCCCAGACCAGCTCCAAATGCAGTTCCTGAAGGGTAGTTCCCAGAAGGCTCTGAGCAGTGATACCACCTCCAGATCACAGGCAGAGTCACCCAAAGTGACTCCCACAGACCTGGCTTTCCCAGCGCAGCACTTGGCCAAAGGCAGCGGCCAGTGGGACCATCTGCCTACTCATCCCTAGAACTGGGCCCCCAGTTGGCTTGCTATTGGGTGCTCAGTGCCCGCCACAGTGTTAACCCCAGGAGATGCCTCACTAAATGTCTGTTGACTGGCTAACTGACTCAGAAATACAGTTGAATGTACAAAATGCTGCATTATTTGTTTCTTAAACTGTCTTATCATTTGGTCACATTGGGACATCTGCACAGTGACTGAGTCCACTGGCCAAAGGTAGGCTATCCTCTCCCAGTCTCTGCCGGGTGGGCCCTAGGTGGTCAGCCTGCCCATGAATGACTACTACCATTTCCCATCCCACTTCCACATGTGACCATTCTTACATTCAGTGCTAACAGGAGAGGGCATATCACAATAAACCACCGTGTAGGATCTGTTTAGGACTTGGGACCAAATGGATTGATGGTTCCCTCACAGTTTGCTCTGGTAGTCAGGTAACCAATGGGGAGTGTTTCCATGACCTCTACAGGACCAGACAAGGCACTCCCACAGACATGTGGGGCATCCCACAGCGCAGCTAGCTCCCTAGCAGACCTAAGTCTTCAAGATGCTTGGATGCCCCAGAGAAGAATCCCCTAACCCCAGCCCTTCCTGACACACATTCCAAACCATGGGCTCCTCTCCCAAGACACCCCAGATTCTCTGAATCAGGAGAATCAACAGGAAGACAAGGCAGAAACCACAGAAGTTTCTCTAGTCTTGTATGGTTGTTGGTTTCCCCCTCTGTCTTTTGTCCCATTTGTTTCTCATTTGTGGCTTAATTACAAATTAGTCATATAAACAAGCCAATTCCAGAATACCCCAAAACAAAGGAATTTTGGAGTTTAAAAATTGGGGAGTCTAAAATTCACTGTCCCGTCTATACAGCATTAGTCACAGAAGGAGATAGTGACCTACTGCCCGTGAGACTTCAGCAGGGCTGCTTCACCTGCTTTACTCCCCTCATCTGCAAATAAGGGCAACAAACAGCACCTCCAAACACAGACTTGCCTAATGAGAAAATGCACAAGAGGCACACTGAACCGTGCCAGGTGCAGAGCAGGCGGCAGAGCTTAGATGCTGTTGCTGTCATTTCGGACTGGAGCAGGAACCAAACAAGGATGCACCTGACAGAGAGCGGTATGTTTATTATCTGCACCACATGCATAATTTGTCCCATTTAATGACACAAAAAGACCTGATGGAGCCTTCCAAAGTCAAGTGCCTAAGACAAACAATGGCAACATTCGGTTCTTAGAGACTCGAGTCATTTGAGGGAAGCCACAAGCAGGGGACTCTACTTTCGCTTTGAGATCCCTGGCAAGTGAAGCAGTTGGGAGAGGTGGGAGACATCCTTCACCTCAGGGTTCAGACAGAGACAGAAACATTCTCCTGGCTCCAGACTTTTCAGAGCAAGTCATAAGCTGGGCTCCCTGGGCACTGGAGAACACACAGGACAAGGCTGTCTGACATCCATGAGACATAGCTCCTGGATGACCTCTCTAGCTGCAGACACAGTGAAGAGTGCACCTCAAGGCAAGCATGGGAGTGGTTTCACAGAATGCCAGCATGAGAAGGGATTTTTAGTTTATTCCCTGGTCCTGCAAACACTAAAGAGAGGCTTGCGGGGCTGTGTGACCAGACTCGGCTGTTGGACCGGTTCCTCCCACTCCATTTCAGACTCTTGCCTTCTTCCCTAATTTCTTCCACCAACACAAACAAGCTCTCCCCCTGGTCGTCTCCCTACAGGAAATGACAAAACTGCCACACACTCACCTGCACTTTATGAGAAAAACGAATCTGAAGGATTAGCAGTAGAAGCTTTGCATAGTGGATTAAGCCACCACTTTGCAACACTAGCATCCCA